GGTTGGGGTGGCTCATTTGGTGTCAAGGGGCGGGGTAGAGGCTGCCCCATAGGGATTGGGAAAAGCTAAGAAATAGAAATAGAGTATGCTAAATGAGATGCCACCCCCCCGACTGTTCGTCCCCCCCAGTTGAGCCCCCCTTGATCCCAATTTTGGGGTTTACTAGCTGAGCACTGCCTTTGCTGACTCAGCTGGAAAAACGGGGCTCCCCCCAAAAACGGGGGGGCTTCCGCATCCCTATTCCGCGACGCCCCCCCAGCTGATGAAATGGGATGCGCCCCCCAAAACCTCCATAGGGATTTGGGGGGTCCCTCTCCTCCCCCCGCAAGACTCTACAATCCAACCTCCAGGTTGAGAGACCCCCAGACCCTCCCCCAAAAAAAACCCCTGTACCTCTCAGATGCACCCCCATACTGCCCGTGCTTTTATTTAAAAAAGGGTGCTTTTTTAACCATTTCTTGCTTTAAAAAAATAATAAATCTTCACTGCAAACACCTTGCCGTCAGAACTGCATGGCCGCCTCCAGTGTCTCCGAAAGCTTTGTGGCGATTTTCTCTGCAGGACAGAGGGATGGTCCCAGTTTGGGGGGGATCAGAAGGATTTTGGAGGGGATCAGGGAGGTTTTGGGGAGTTCACAGGGGTTTTGCGAGCTGGGGAAAAGGAGATGTCTTTACTCACCTGCTCTTTTTTGTAGCTTTTTCCTCCGTTTGCTGGCAGCCCGCAGCCCCTGGCCCTGTAACAGGGGGTGGAGGGCGGCCACCTCCTCCAAACGGGGGGCACGGGGTGCAGACCCTTCCCCGCTGCCTGCCGTCTTCACCCGGGGCTTCAGCTCCACCGTCACTGTGCCGAGCTGGGGTGGAAGACATCGAAGATAAACCCATCAGCCCTGCCCCCTCCAAAAAAACCCAACCCCTCAGCAAACACCCAATTCTTTCTGCACCTCCAGGTCGCCATCATCATCCTCCATGGCTACTTCTTCCTCCCCGCCGGCTTTCTCCTCCTCTTCCTCCGCCTCGGGGACACACGGGGACAGCCCAATGCCTGTCACCGTCACTGGTACAGCTACGGGGGGGGGGGAGGTGTCAGGTGAGCTTTG